ATATCAAGCATCTTGGTTATAACTTACTTCTTTTTAAGATACAACATGGCAAAATTATTTAGACTTTGGGTTTTCTTCTTGTACAATCTTAAATTAAAAGTCACATTTGGAACTAATTTAATTTTAGACACCAGAATTTCAGATAATTGCACATATAACCGGAATTGTGTAGCAGGTTATTTTTTTTACAAATTTTGCTAAAAAATTCTAATTTTTCAATTATGTGTAGTTATCTACACTTTACCTGCGATGTCAGGTTTCAATTTGCCGATGTCAGGATGCCTTTTGAATGAATTTTGATTTTAATTTTTATAAATGTTTACCAATTAATCTTTACGATGAACAATAACAATGTGAACGGGTATGTTGTATTTATTTACCAATATATTGTAATGATGTTTTTAGGAAAACATGTTGATTCATTATGTAGCAGCTTCTAAAGTAACAGAAGTTGTGAATTTCTACTCAAATTTATATGTTTTATGTGTTAGACGGAGATTTTATTTCAACATTTACTTGGTGAAAATTTTCATTGTAGTTCAAAATGAGTAAGCAACAACAACCGAGTTGAATTTTTGTAATACGTGGGCAGCTAAATCAAGACTCAGTAACATGTATATTAAGTAATTCATAACTGAAGTTATCTATATACTGTAAAAAAAATTTTTAGAGTTTTTCTCTATTATTCTGTGTATTCATAGAGGCTCTACTAACACTTATTCCATATTAAAATTCTAAACATATTCCATATTAACTAAACGTTCTCAAATCTTTGGCAAACTAGATTGGAATTTTCATAATCGACGTTTTTTTTATTTTTAATAACTATGGGATAATAACTCAATAACTCTTTTATGCAGGGTGTTTCGCGTAAGGTGGCAAATAATTCCGACGATGATTCTTTGATAAATTTCCGACAAAAAAATTCCTTATTTTACATACTAAACCAAAAATAAAAATATTCAATGTATGCATTTTTCACGTTTTTCAAAAACACATTTAACACGTTTTACTGCCAAAACTATGACAGATAGAGGAAAATGTTATATAGGTTAGCTTTGAATTCTTCTTGTAGCACTTTAAAAAAAAAATCTGATTTTGACAAACTTTATCTCAAAAACTATACCTCAAATCTATAATTGATTGCAAAATTTAAAATAAAGAGCAATCAATTATCTGTAAAACAAGTCATTGATGGTTGCTCCATGTTGCGTGCTTCCGGTGTTATGAACATTTATGCAGAAAAATAAATATATTTTTTTCAACAGGCTGCAGCTCAAAAACGAGTATGCCTCCCCTACCTCCACTCATAAAAATTTTTTGCTAGAAATTTATCAAAGAATCATTTCTGAAATTATTTGCCACTTTATGCGAAACACCCTGTATATTTCATTTATAAGAAATTAAAATCACTATTCGAAAATAAAAATAAAATAAGATAAGCCATTCATAAATTTCGTTATTCCATTATTAAGCAAAATTATTAAAAAAATAAAAAATTTATTTTTATTATTAGAAAAAATTATTATATAAATTTAAATTTAAGTGTTTGTGTGATTATTTGTAGCAATTATCATATGTGATATTAAAGTAGTGTAAGAAAAAACAATTGAAATCATATTTTTCTGCACTAAGTTTAGGCAAAATTAAGGAAAGGAAGGAAACAAAATTAAAAAAAAAAAAAAATTAATCTACATTGAATATTATTAAATCCACCTTTGGGATAATTTTAACAAGGCAGCAAGCATCTAGGAACAAAAGCTGAAAAAACACACACATACACAAATAATAATAGAGTTGAATAAAAATCTGAAAACAAAAGAATGAACCAAATGTGAAATTAATTTTTTTCCCTACATCTTTTGTTTAAATTATAAATTTTTTTCTTTATTTTTATTTTCACTATATGTGCATACATACATACATATTTGAAATCTCATATGTGGATGATGAATTTAGTCGAGCATAAGAAGACGAATTTATAATTAGGAATAAAATAAAAAAATGCAGTTTTTATAACGTTTTGTTCTAAAACAATAACGGGAATGAAAAATATACATGTCAAGAAAAAAAGTAATTATGAAGCTCTAAAAAAAAAGGATTTTATAGTTTAATTTGACGTTAGAATTTTAGTAGACGATCTGCCTAATATGAAAATTTAATATTTAAAAAAATTTATTCACACTTGCAAAATTTTGCAAAATTTCACATAGCACCCACATAAACTGGATTGCAATTATTTTGCAATGACAATAAAATAATAAAATTTTGTAATAATCCAAGTTTGATGACTGGGTAAAATATTTATTCTTTTAATTAAATCATATTAACACCGCGCTCCTGTTAGTCACAAATAAAATAAGGTAGCCGAGATTTTGATTTATGCAATATTTTTTAAAGTTGTATTGAAAATATGTTGCAATTTATCATTTACATGTTCGTTACCAATAATTAAATCAATCGTATGATTTAAAGACTGTGTCTGTAATAGCAAATTCGTTTATGACTTATTGATTTCTCCTCCATGGCAAAGACAATAGAAAAATAATAAGAGAAAACTTAAATGCACTCATACGACTTTAAAAATTCTTGTTAGTTGTGATAACACCGAAATTTTAGTTTTAATGTAACTGTATGAGTTAGATTCATTTTTTAAAATAAGTGGTTACTTTTTAGATTTTATGCAAAAAAAAAAATTGAAACGGAGTGTTAGTTTATGCGTCTGTCCGTTTGTGTGTCTATTTATAAAGTTTATTTTTTTTATCAAACCAGCCTTTTAATGCTTATAAATCATTTATTGTTCTTGAACAGGAATTTTTTTTCACCTAGGGACCGTCCTTAGCTATTGCCTTTCGAAATTCGTAAGGCTTGAATTTTTAGCGCCTTATATTTCCGAAACTATCAACTCTTCCAAATTTCTGTAAGACAAAAAGCTGACAGTAAATGTCATGTCTTGAAAAATATAATTACATATGTACATACTTATCTGAACTCACCTACTTAAAAATCAAATTCAACTATTATATTAACGCTTAATTTAATCTTTTTTCTTCATCCCAAGTATACGCAGCAATTTGATTTATTTTGGTATATTAATGTATTGATGTATGTAATATAAAATTTATTTTATTTTTTAATAAAAAAAAAAACAGTATTTTCACTTGTTCAAGGGAAAAGTGATTCCTTTTCAAACCATTGATTTGATCAAACTTTATCCAATAGAAGATTCCTATTTTTTTTCAATTGAATTTTGTAATTTTTTTTCGAAACTCTGAAATACGAGTATGTACATATATATATATAATACATATATATAAGTTATAGTTATTAAACTTGGCGTCTTCTAAAACGAAGTGGTATACAAAAGTGTTTTACAAAATGAACAACCGAAAGACGGCCATAATTCCAGAAACATTCTTCTCATTAAAAAGTTTATTATACCGATTATTTTATTTACTATACTTAATTAACATCTCACTCAGCGAGTCTAACGTAATCGAAATTTGTAACATAAAACGAGTTAAAATTGCCCATCACATACAATATGAGAAACTGGCTTGTTTTAATAAAAATTGAATTAAAATGCATAGTCGCATTAAAATTATATTCCAACGGAAACCGAAATTCTTTTTCGGAACACTTATTTTTTAAAGTAGTAAAACAGTCACAATGCTTTTTTCTATTCTTGTAATAAGAAATGCTTTTCTTGAATCACTGAACGATAATTCACCTTCTCCCATCAGTAAACCACAATTAACTCATTTTATTAAAAAGTAGCATAACTATTAGTTTTTCATTTCCTTTTTTATAGCTTTTCGTAAATGAAACTCTTCTTTCCTTTCATGCCTCGCAAATTAGCACATCAATGTAAATTTCAATAACCAACATGTAGATACAGTCCTTCAATAAAAAAATCAAATACATACATAAAAAAAATAAAAGGATAATAAAAACAAACACAATTTTAAAATATAAAAGAAAAACTTTTTATTTTGTTTGGCAACCTTTTTATTGCAAAATATCCTTTTATTCAAAGATATTAGAGCGTAATAAACTAACAAATTTGTGGGATATTTTTAAAATCAAATAACTATTTAAAAAAAAATGAGGAAGTTCATTTAATTGCAAATTTGGAATGGTCCATGCCATAATACTAAAAAACAAAAAAAGAGAATTTTTTTAATATAATTTGCCAATATACTGATAAAATTTTTTTTTAAAAAGTTGATGTGAATCACTTATTCCATTTTTAAGTTAAATTTTAGAAATTAAATCTCTTGAATGTAGTAGATCTGCGGCAAGTAAACTAGAAACCCAATTATTCTAAACTTCGAATAAATAATTTATATTAAATTTTTTTTATAGTTTGCATTTATGTAAACCTTTAAAATTTTTATTTTTTAATTGTGAAACAAAATAATCCTATAATATAATGAAAAACTCTATTTATTTTTTGCAACTAATGTAGAGAAAGTTTATTTAATACCAGACTTTAAAATCTATTAAATTTATGTGTTCGAAAATCTCGTATGTAACATTTACTTTAAAAATTTTTCATCATTCACAACTGATATCTCTCTCAAGATTTAATAAATTCCATGTCCAAATATTGAGCTTGCATTTTCAAAAAACTTTACTGTAATAAAATTAAATATTTGTAAATAAAAAATGTATACGGAAATTTGTCCTAAAGAATCCTATGATTCCAAACTTAAATGTTTTGCATCTTGTTTTATATTTTCATTTTATTCTTTTGTACAAATTTATATTTAATGAAATTGAATAAAAAAATTAAATTCTTTTTCAAAAGAGCATCAAAACAAAACCATCAACATACGAAATTACTTTAACAAAAAAAAAGCCATTAAAAATTGGGAAAAAAAATTTTAACATTTTTTTAATACGAGCTCTGAGAATTCAATTGATTTCATAGTTATTTTCAATTTAATTGAATACATTCGAAAAAAAAGAACAAACAAAATAAAATACGCTCACAGATATACCATTAAATAATTTATTCAAATTAATTCTGCTGATTGATTAGCGACTGAATATTTTTTTTTCGACAATTTAAAATAAAAAAAAACATGTAATTTAACAAGTTTAATCTTTGATATTTAAAATTACTTCGAGAGGTTGCAACTCTTTGTAAGAAATTCCATAAAAGGGAAAAAACATTTTTTTTTCCTTTATGACTGCTGCAGAAAATTTTGCTTATACCAGAAAATGACCGAGAATACGAGTAGAGATCATTATTTTTTCTTATCGCTTCATATTTAATGAATCATTCCCTTTGGTTGTGTATTTAGATTGCTGCTTTTTTTCCTTTAATTTCTATCAGCATCACCATCACCATCAAATCTGTCATGCTAAATGAAAAAAAAGCAAATGTATTTTAAAAAAAATTTTTATAAGTTCCAAGCTTACATTTTTCCGAATGGTAGAAGTTTTTCACTTCTTTTGTTTAATCGGCAGCTAAACAAAGTCCTGTATTTGCTCTAATAACTGATTTGTCTCTTCCACGCTTTCTTCTTTAGGATCCGCTATTCGGAAAATCTTTAACTTGGCGTAACGGATACCGAATCTCAGTTTGTTATCCTGCTTATCAAGAAAATTTAAACTATCCTCATTTATGAGTAGCAAGAATGATTCACTATATTTTTGAGGTTCTTCTTTTTTGATTACTTGCCAGTTATCCATTGGAATTTCAGGATTTGAAATTTTCAACACTTTAAGCAATTTGTCACCTGAAATGTCCGTTTTTGGAATCCAAATGCGAGCCCGAGGCTCTTTAGGAATATCCTTAGCAAGAATAAGGTCAATCTGGCATCCATCCCATTTTTTATCAATATTTGCAACGCATGATCTAAGAAACTTTGCAGAGGGGCCATTCTCACATTTAATTACCCGATAACCCCTAATTACTTCTGAAGAATCAAAGCCTAAAAGCTGTTTTCCACCGGTTGCAAGAAGCTCGTCAATAACCATTTTAGATAATTCGGCTTCAATCCTACTCCACATTTCGTTCGACAGTTTAAGGCTAGTACCTTTTTTATTTATCACCGCAAACCGAAGATTATCATAGGACTCTTCATCTATATGTCTCTTCTGAATCTGATATGTAGTAGATGTTATTGTGCTGACAGTTCTCTCCGGTTCGTCAACTTTCGCTCTTTTATGCACTTGTTGAGTGGATTGTTTATCTGGGTATATAATTCTTTTCCTGAGTTCAGAGTACAATGAATTTTTATAATTATTGTATTCCTCAACTACCTTCTGGTATCTGATTTTATCTCCTTTATCTCTTTCGTTGAATTTACCTTCTGCTTCATTCCGAGCAATCTTGTCCAAAATATATATAGCCTTCGAATATCTTTTCTTAAAGGCACATCCAGGTCCCCTTGATTTTCTCTTTTTGGAACTATGACTGCTTTCTTCAGTGTTTTGTATTGTATGTTCAGTTAGTTCAATTTGTGGTAATTCATTCTGATTCATATTGCTACCACCAATAGATTCCTCTTTCTCCTGACTGGAGATTAATTTATTATCCTCCGGTGAGGAGCCGGTTGATAATTCCTTTTCTAATATATTTTGATTTACATTCTCCATTATATTTCCCACGAGTATGTCCGGAATAATAGTCAATCCTGGCAGAGCCGACTTACCAAGATAAGGCACTTATACAATCGACCTGGCCTGGGCATCGAAGGGAGCTCGTAAACGGCTGGTTTAACCCCCAACCTTTCAGTCCTCGGCACGGATAGCTCACACCACTTTGACATTAGGTTTCACAATTTATACTGTGCTATAATGTAACTTGGGATTCTCTTTGTTTTCGGATCTCACTCTTATTGTATAATTTATTTGCTGAATATTACAAAACTACAATATCCATTAGTATGAAGTTCACTGATCCTACTTAAGCCCCCCCACCACAGCAAGGTGGAATCCCATCGGGAGGGTACACAATAGGTTCTTCACAAAATGTAAACGATAACGTTTTACAATAAACTTTTTTTGTTCATATTAAACACAAAATATAAATAACACGTTAAACAAAAGAGCTCAATTATACAAAAAAAAACAATTGAAGATAATCAAGAAAAAGTTAGTTCAATTATATAACAAATTACGAGTACATATTATATAAGACTTAATTTCATATATGTATGCATATAAAAATTTAATTCAATAATACATACACAATAAAAAAAGGGATGGCTTTTCACTTCTTTCATTTATGCATGTACTTATCATGTTGATATATAAAGCTAACACTGAATAATCTTTAACACTATGCGGGGTTACTGTACGTGTAGGCAAATATATTTTTGAAATACTCATAATTAGCCATAATAACACAAAAACATTAAAATAATATTCAGATCATAACTTCCATTAATGTAATTCATTACTTGCTCTCTTTACCTTAAATAAAATTATAATCTTGTATCAATATTTCTTAAAATTTTCATTAATAATTAATACAAAATAAATTCATCCACTATATCAAAATATTGGAAAACATTGTAGACATTTTTGTTTTAATTATTTTTATTTCAAATTTGATATGCTACATAATAAATTAAAATAAAAAAAAAGAACAGATTTAAGTTTTAAGGATTTTTTTGATTTTTTTTTTGTTTCGTTTTTTTTTTCTACCAAAAAGTAACAAACTTTGTAATATAATGTAAAAAGAATTAAATATAAAAAAATTGTTCAGCATATCTGAGTTACACGGTAAAACATTTTTATTTCTCTTTTTCTTTCAATTTTTTAATTTCGAATTGTTTTATCATTAAAATGCAACTTGCACTTTTGTTAAATTTCGTTTCTTCTGATGTTAATGTATCTTATAAATGTAAAAGTATTTTATTTAGGTGGTAACTATTTTTAATTAGTACAAAACCGAAAATAAAAACGCAAAAATATTTTGTGTTATCTTCTCACAACGAAGACAATAAACGAGAAATTAAACTTTTATTCACAGTCTTAAAAAATAGTATTTAAATTTTATCTAATCATCTGAACCAGCTGTACGTTTAATTTTTCTTTGCTTAGGGCTTTGACCTTGCTGTTGTTGTTTTGGTTTGGGTGATGTTTTTGGAGAAGTTTTCGGTGAAGTTTTTGGTGAAGTTTTTGATGATTTGGATTTTGGTGATTTTTCTGAAAATACAAAAAAAGATTAAAAATAATTTTTAAAGAAAGAGGAAACTATTAAACTTAAAAAAAAATTAGTAGTTACACAAAAAAAAATCATACATACCTATAATGAAATAAAATTACAATTTTACTTATACAACAGAGTACAATTATCCTACTAATCGCAAAAATCTACTAATTACCTTTTGTTAAACCAAAAATATTATATAGCTTTCAATACACAATTGGCATAAATATACTTATTGAGAAAAAGAAGTATAGACAGTTTGAACTGAGATTACAGAAATGAACTGAGTATTACATTTTAATAGAAAATAGAATCAGATTAAAATTATGGCTTTGTTGGCAGTCCTTTATTATCTCATTTGTTATCTGTATTCAAATTACTATTTGCACCTTTTGATTTAAAATTATTTAAGTACAATCATAGCCAAACTACTTGTTGATATGAAATATGTACTGATTTTTCTTATCTCAACAGACTACTTTATGCATGTTTAATTCATACATAGTGAAAAAAAATATAAAACATATATGTAAAATTGGTTATGTAAAATATAAGAACAAATTTCCTATTGTTGTAATTTTATTAGTCTATTATGTATTCGATTTGCTACGTAAAGACTTTCATAAAACTAGTTTTTGCATAACCATAAAGTGAAAGTAAAGTGTGTTGATGACGTAAAATGGCATATGTTACTTTCTCAATTTTACTAACAATTAATATTCTCACTTCTAAATTTTAACTAAATGAACTTTTTTTATATTCTTTTTTTATTTTATATTATTGCAATTAATAAATATAGGTATAGGTACTTACGAAGAGCACGTAAAGTTTCTTCAGGCAACCAATCATAATCAACATTATTGCTGTTGACCGTTCCTGTTTCAATTGTCTTTTTAACAGCTTGTGCACGTTTTCTTTTGCCTACAGAACCAACCAAAAATTGTTGTCCCAAAACAAGTAGTAAAACAACAATACCAGCTAAGAAAACATATAAGAAAATTATTTCCCCGTCAAGCCCTTCATCAACTTCAGTTATATTAACAGTTTCATTAAAAACTGCTTCTGTAAATTGTGCACCATTCGCATCTCTATAATTTAAAGCAATATTTAATCCAAATGGTCTGCCAGCGAATGAATCTGATGGTAAAAATGAATACGAGACGGTTGCCTCATGTCCTGACTTTACTTCGCGGTTATATGGTATTGCTGAGAAATTTTGAATATAGTAATTAAAGTCCTGTGGGTAGCGGAAAGATGCTTCAACACTTTCGATTACAAAATCATCTTCTCCTTTATTTGTAAAGCCAACAAGAAATTCGACTGGATTACCAGCTGGTAAATCAAATTGAGCACCAGGGGTGTAAAGCGGTCTAGTGAACAACAAAAACGTATCGGCATACGGTGATGTAGTCGTTTCAGGCTCCTCCTCTGTTTCAACATCATCCCCTACAACCGCACCATCATCATTTTCTCCTTCAACATCAACGTCATGATCATCATCAATTTCATCTTCAGCATGCACTAAATATTTATTTGCTAAAACAATAAAAGGAAATTATTTTATAAGCTTCAGCAATTCCAAAGTATTAGCAGAAAATTAAGTAATTTTAAATTTTATTTAGAATATAAAATTCATGCTATTAATGCCACGTCTGATGCGCTATCACATTTTTTTTTATATATAATATTCTTTACTTACGTGAGCTAAATGTACATAGAATAGTTGGAAGTACCAATAATAAGAAAAATACTAATTTTTTCATTTTGATTAAGCTACTTTAATTTATAAAACCCAAACGAATTAAATGATGAACAATATTGAAATACTATACTACACTCCACTCAATCTCTCATATCAAAGAAATGTACATATATATAACACAAGCGCAAGTAGAGAAAGACAGCGGTGTCTAGAAATCGATGATTTTTGATGACATTTGACATTTTTAGTTCCAAATCTTTTCTACGTGGAGGCGAAAGACACTTAAACGTCAAAATTGTTACCCTTTAAACAAAACGAAATTATCAAGTACTAACCCTGAAAAAATTTTAGTACATTAAAAAAATTTTCCTTGTTTCCTCTTAAAGGATTGTTAAAAGCGCTAAACTCTGTAAAACAATTCTACATAAAATTAGTTAATTTAATTTGCCATTTCCCATTAGGTCTTATTATTATAATAGTAACTAAATATTTTGTTTAAAATTTTGGGTATATTTCTTGACATAACATACGTCAGTTGTGGCATATTCGGAAAATTTTCCTAATCTTTGCCTTTTGTTCTTTTCTTTTTGTTCATTGTTGTTTACACGCATTGGTAAGATACAATATGTTTTGTACCTAAACTTAAATTGTTACAACACCATTTTCGTCTTTTTGGGTTAAATTCAATTGATGAGATAGAAGAAGAGTGTGGAACTCACAACGCAAAATAAATTAGCTCTTAAGTAATTGCTCAAGTGACTGATTTAATTAGCTCACTCGGAAATTTGAAATTGAAACGGTCAAATTACTTTAAGTTGATATTGTCGAAATATATAAAGTGTCACTTTTTGGCAGTTTAATTTAATAAATTTGAAGAAAAACACTTAAAAAAATTCAATTTTGCAATGTAATTTTATTTGAAATGATAAATCAATAATTGGCATTTTTTTACCAATATTAAAATATTAAAAAGTCCTTTGGAATGGTAAAATTTATATAAATTTTTTTTTGTCATTCTGCGATGAGGATGTCTTCATTTATGCTAATAATTATAATGTTGTAATTATTTTTTAAAGCATTCGTTTAAGTTGGATAGTAGAAGTAGATAACAAATCTTACATCCCACCAAAGAACTATCTTGTATCTAAAACACACGATCAATTGCGGTCAATTGACAGAAAATAACATTTTAATGTGTATACCGCTATCTTTCAGGAACATAATCTATTAAAGAATAAAGAAAATTGATTACTTTTTGAATACTATTTTGAGAAACAAAAATCTTTATTTTAGTACTTGCCATTCTACAAGAGTAAGTAAAAAAAGAGCTGTTTGTTTATACACAGTCTTGTGTCGTATGTTTCTCTTATGTTTACTCACTAAATTTCATTAACATATTACATAATAAGTAGTCCAAATGTATCATATAAAGTTGTATAGTATTCGAAAAAACTTACCTTTGATTTATTATGAATTAATTATTTTCGAAATATGTATGTAATATTTAATATTACTTAATTATATTCTATCAGAATAATATAATTCTCTTTTATTTACATTTATTATGGACTTCAACCGGAAAACGTAATTGTCTTTCACAGCGACATCTAACGATAGATATTGTCTTGATAAAGGTTATTAAATTTTTGATGTTTCATATGTCTTTCTCAAATTTCCTTCTTTTTATTTCCGCCTGTCAAGAAAAGAGGAATTCACGAGTAAAACTTCTTAAATAAAATAAAAAAATAAAATAAACCATGGAAAAACCAACCGTTTGCGCTCGTGTTATTAAAGTTCTTGGTCGTACCGGATCCCAGGGACAATGTACACAAGTTAAAGTTGAATTTTTAGGTGAACAAAACCGTCAAATTATCCGTAATGTTAAAGGTCCAGTAAGAGAAGGCGACATTTTAACACTTCTTGAATCTGAAAGAGAAGCAAGAAGATTAAGATAAAGATGTTTCAGATGATTCAAAAAATTATTCGTAAGGTAAAAATATTGAATTATATGTACTTGTTTTTTTAAAATTATGTTACTTTATTTTAGGTATTTGAATGGATGAAGTAAATAATTCTGAACTGGAATGTTGATTGTATTCTATACTTTCATTGAATAAAGAAGCAGTAACAAGAAAATATTTGTTTTAATTGAAATTGAGATTAATTTAGGAAAGCAGGTCAACACAAAACTTTAATATTTTTTAGTAGAAGTGCGCGTACTCAATTAATATTTATATTTAGTAGATACTAGGAATGGTATACTAGTACATTGCTAAAAATCATATGGCCATTAACCTAGTCAGTAATTTTCTTTACTCGTTACTGGATAAAAGTACCTAAGTACCTTCTTCCTAAATAGTTCAACCACAACGTAATGTATTTCATTACGGTACAACTATGTAATTTGAAGTTATACCTTATTTCTGAAACTATTTTAGTTGAAGAATTGAAATTTTCTTTTCAATCAAGTTTGCTCTGTGTACTATTCCAAAAAAAAAAACTAAATCCATTATGTATATGAGGGCCTTTACAATTTCAATAGCATATCTCAGGAAAATATTCTAGCAGTAATTATAATTATAAAATTATAGTTATAAAAATATTTTATGAAAAGCATCTGCTTGAAACTGTAGTTACATTTTATTAGCCATGGAACTCGGTAGTTATCACAAGATTAACAACATTAAATCGACCTTTTCCTATTTTGCATTTATTTTGATACAAGTTATTTCTTGTACATAAATAACCATGTATGTAAGTACATATACATAATATTGAAGACACTAAAAACAGTAATTTATTCATTCAATCTAATTAAATATTTTATGTTTGGCATTTATAAAATGAAGTTGTTTAAGCAACCTCTTAAAAATATAACTTATTTTTTTGCTTTCTTTAGTTCCAGATCATAATTTTTGCTATATCGAAACAAATGTTTAAAAAACATATTGTAATTCATACAAATATACATACATACATATATTAGTTTTAAATAATATCCTTAAATTCTATTCACATAAAGAAAAATCATTTATTCGACGAACTTAACCTATAATTTATTTTGATTTTAAATTTTAAAATAGACATACCGCCAAAAATCCAACAAAAATTATTCTTAAAATGCGCAGGATTTCAAAATATCGATTCGACTCCGACGCATTTAAACAATTGAATATGTTAAACAAACTGAAATATGCAAGGATATGAGCATAAATTCTTTTTCTTTTTATTTTGGTTATTAATTGTATATTTAACAACATAGGTTGTTTACAGTAATTTCCAAATGAAATATTGCCCAATTAAAATTCATCATTTTTATATAAAAATAAATTGTAAAAGTTGTATATCTTAATTATGAGAAAAAATTAATTACATATATCATGTTGTTAAGAGATTATTTAGGGACTGATCGTCTATCTCGCTGTATTACTCGACAAGGGAGAAGAAGGTGAATAAATAAATGTTCTGCGCATCTCGTTTTTTGTTTTATAAAATATGTAGAGAGTTTATTTACTTCTTTTTTGAAATACAAAAATTCAATTGAATAAATGAGAAATCTTATTGAAAAAAATTAAGTACTCATTGGAAAAACGGAGAATTCTGATTTCAAAGTGAATAAAAATTTTTATATATATTTTTAACTGGATACACAATTAGGTTGTTAATTTTTATTAATAAGGAATAATTCAGTAAACCATTAATTTTTACATATATGTATGATTAAAATTGGATATTATTCCGAGTCTATTGGAGCTGGATATTATTCAAACATATCGGTATTGAAATATTATATTTGAATTAAATGTTTATGTATGTATTCTTAAATTCCAGAATGCAGTTTAGAATATCTGAGCCGAACAGGATTTAAGAACTGTGTATTTTAACACTCTATAAAACTAAAAGTATACTTTATGAAATTTTCAAACTACTATTGTAAGCAGCGTTATGCTTAAGAAAGTTCGCATTTGTATAAATCAACAAATATATTCTGGTTCTATATTTTTGTATTTGGTACGAAAATAATATTAAAAATAGTTGTTTAATAAATTAAAAATAATATGAAAACGAAAAAAAAAAAAAAACTCAATTAAATCTTAATCTTATCTAAAATTTATTACTTTAGTTCTTAATTCATTTGGTATTTTTTTCCACAATCTTCTATACAATAATGTATCTCTCTTCATTTTTATTTAACGAGTAAAAGGACATTCATTCATAGAATGTACCATAGTTTTAATTCTATCATCATATTTACCTGTTGTTGCATTATAAAAATGTTAAAAATATAATTAGAAAATAAAAGAAAAAAAAAAAATAAAATATAAAAATAAAAATTTTTCCTCTTTTTTAAACTGCACATGTTAATTTTATATATTTTTGTTCGTTTAAATAAAAATTTTCTTCAAATAGCAAAAAAAGAAAAAAAAAAAATAAAAATTTATTTTCTAATCAATTAAATCTTTTCATACCAATATACATATAACAAATAATATTTAAAAGGAATTTTATTTTTACAATATTACTATTGAAAAATAAAACATAATTAGAAAAGAAAATAATAAAGAAAAAAAAAGAAAATTATGCAGAAAATGAATAAAATTTTCAACAAAAAGGATATTAGATGTAATGAAAATATTATACATATATATATCTAGATGTTTAATCCTGAAAAATTTCAAGTGTTTGTTATATAATAATAAAATTTTTGATAACAGGGTAAGTTTATAATAGTACAATAAAAAAAAAACACAGAAAAGCTGAAAATTTTAATTTTTGCAAAATTCAACACTTTGCATCAGTTTTTCGTAAAGATTTCACTTTAAGTTTGTTATAAATATAAGATCGGAATGAATTTTAAATAAAATGTTATTGAAAAAGGAATTAGCATACAATTGGCATTTTTCTTTTTCTTGTATTTACTTAGAATGAAAAGTTTCTTATGTTTAATTTTTGTAGTTGGTTTTGGTGTTTTCTTTTAATATAAATGTATTGTATTTGATTAACTTGTTTTTTTTGTTATATAAAGAGGAAAATCCCTCTATATATATATATATATATATATATAAGACAAAATTTATTTTATATACAAATATCTATACATACTTTTACCTTTACTATTGTTTTATTTCGTATACATAAGAAATACATACTCGTATCTAATAGTATAGATATATACGAGTATATGGGTATGTCTTATATTCAAAGTGAATAAAAAAGATAATAAAAAGAGATTAACAGATTAAAATATGTGTGTGTGTACAATTTCATCATATGTGATACATGAATTGTGATATAATGTATAACTACTAATATTCTTATTAAGTATAAAGAGCGTATAATATACTATTTACATATATACTAGTGTATATATAGTTGATATTGAAATATTGAAATGAAAATGTTAAGGCGCATTTTCTTTTCAACAAAAAAAAAAAATATAATTAAAACAATAATGATCGATCATTTATAATATCGAATATTGATTAGAATTTAAAAAAAAAATATAAATGTCGTATCATATCGTATATTTTTTAAACATTACTCTGCTACATGAAAATTGAGTACATTAAAATTATGCATTATTTACAATCGTTGTATAAATGTATGTATGTAATTTTTTGTATTTGAAAAAAACTATTGGCTTAAATAGTGAAAGTATCCTTAGAATTTACTTCTTAATTTAATTAATGAATTTTGAACAATTTGTTAATGTTATATTGTTAGTGTTTTCCTAGAGTATTAAGCGAAAATCATATTTTGTAATTCTCTATGTAATATAACCTAAAAGCTATTATAAGTACTTATAAATATAAATTTAATAATACAATATGTTCTTGGTATATAAGTTAGCTAATCGTAAATTTGACTATTCCATCATGTACAATGTGTCAACTGTCATACGAAATTATAAGACCCAAATTAAAGTTCAATGTAATTTTAATGAATTTTTACATAAAATTTTATTTTGAAAAAAAAGTTGACCTTATTATTTTTTAATCTTTTCAAAATAGATTTTGCATTATTAACGCTATTAAGTTCATATTATAAACTATTTCTATAAAACTATAAAAGTTTACCTCCCTTTGTCTATATTTTACATTTCGTAATACAAAATATTAATCAAAAATTTTAAATGATATTAGAGAAATTTAATAAAATCACCTCTGAATAAAGTATGTGTACTTATTGTATTTTCTGAAATATTTTTAATTTCTTCTTTCATTACTTACTTATGCATGTAGATACGAAAATTATACAATACTTTTAACGACGATTCCCTAATAATTACAAAATATAGTATGAATTTGGTTATATATAAAAATTGCATATAAAACGGCGTTCCACTCTATTTATATGAGCGTAATGTAAATGAATAACATTAATAATTGATATACATGAATACCGCAAGTATACGAGCGTAATCTTAATGAATAACATTATTAGTTTATATACATTAATACCGCAAATATTATAATATAAGCAAATAAATCTCCAATTTAACTAATTATTTTATAAGTAATTTAAAAAAAAAAAATTTGTTCAATTCGTATCTGAAACGTTCTAACGTACAATGACTATTTTAATAAGGAGCTAAGGGTGATAATCGATTTTTTCGGTAATATTAATATACATAAATTTGCAAATTTTTCAAAAAATCCGAAATTTTAGATTGAACCCCAAAAAATGTTGCTTTATTAAATTTTATCTATATATAAAAAAAGAACTTTAAAAATTCCATACAGATTTTGAGTTTTTTTTTCCATAAATTCGATATTTTAAATTGAAAATATTATCAAATTACAATTTTAATTCAATAAAATTTTACGTATTATATTATAATATATTGTGCATGAATAACTTAACCTTGTCAAGTTATTCATATAAGATGAACTTATATTCAAATTTCTGTTATACATATAGATAATGTGCATAAATTTGCATATATACAACATAATTTATTCATAATATATACAATCGCGTATACATATATTTATAAATCTATATATAATATGTAAGAATACTAAGTGCCTATAATATGTATACCACATATACTCATAATATCCTGCACCAACATATGTGATTTTCTGATAGTAATATCCTATCTCTCTTCTCTTATAGCATGCTGTGTATCGCGCAAAAACACAAACAAATCCTTTTTTTTCTTTTTGTCATTCTGTAGACATTTTTATATTAAAAGTTTATTATTAAATATTATAAAATATGCTATTAAAAATGTCTCATGTTTTTCTTTCGTATTCCTTTAAAATAAAAAATGGCACATATACGCATAAATTCAGATTTATTATAATTTTTTTATGATTTTATTCCCTTTGGATAAGAATCTGAAAAGAAAAAATATAAAGGCAGAAAGAAATAAGAAAAAAATTTCGTCTGTTACAGTTTAATGGATTGTGCTAACATTCTGTTTACTCTTAAAGGATAAATTTTTACATTTGTAAGGTTTTTCTTTTATTACGAATTTTTCTAACATTTCGGAGATTTTTTGTTTTTCTTTTTGATAATAAAAGGTAAAAGATAATAATTGTTAAAATATGCAAAATTTACAAAAAACAATTTACAAAAAAGAGAAAAACAAAATTTTTCTATCTCACCACACGTCCTAAAAAGAACATTGAAAAATGTTAACAAAGCAAAAATTTTTCTTTAAAATTTTTCTTTTTTTTTTCATTAACATTAACTCTATGATGAGGTTATATTTAAAGGGAATTTTTAAAGATAAATTTAAAGTTAGTAAAGTTCATGTAGGTTAGAAATTAAATTTATAATTTGATTAAGATAGACAAACTCGTATAATAGATTTTTCAATTATTGAACTGGAATTGTAAACTTGTGGGAGGTGAAAAATTTATTCCTTATTGTAATGAAAATATTTTGCACACATATACATTAAGTATATTTAATGGAATTGAATAAAATTTTATTGATTAATTTAATATTATATTTTGTTATACTTACTTAATATAACATCAGTTTTTGTATTTATAAAAGTGTAATATACTTGAATCATATTTTCTTTATTACTTTTCATAAGCTGAAACTGCGTATGCAAGGGTGAAAAAAAAAACCAAAATGAATTTTAATTTATAATATTGTATGTATGTATGTACATGAAAAATAAATTTATTGCTATATTCGCCAATAAATAAAAATAAAATATATAATATATTTGGATTTATGTATATACATATACATGTATATGTGTATATATATTGCCAATGGGCATTAATTTTAAAATTATTGCATTGATAATTCTTTTATATGTGACCTCTGGTGTATTTATTCATCAACAATTTTGTGATGTGTATAAAGTACTATTGTATTATATAGTAATCTCTTAATCTCTTCTATGACACTTGTATGTATCGTAAAATATCAAGTATCTATTTTTTTATGGTATGGTCTGAATTTTAATTGTGTGGTACTTTAATTATTTTCAGTTGAAAAATAAAATAAATGGTAATATAAGAGAATTCTAGATTTCGGATGCCACAATCAGGTTATAAAATGTTTCTTTTTTCATATTAAAATTTTTTTACAATTCTAATTGAATTGTAATTCATTTGTTATTATTATGTATGTATGTATGTACATGCATACAAGTGGTCAGTTATAAATAAGACACTCTATATTTCGAAACATTAACTGTTTTCGGTACAATTAATTCAAATTTCAAAAGCATTGGTTAAAATTCTTTTATTATTGCATTACAGAACTTGAAAATGTGTTTGACACACAACACGAGATTTTATGTTTTTGCTGCAATAAATGATACCAATTATATTGTGTAAATTTGAATTAGATTGTGTGCAGCTACCCTAATATTTTAATAACTTTTCGAGATGTCCATTCGGAGTTATTGCTCTTGGTGTTTTAAATCTTCTACAATAAAAATAAATAAATTTTGTTTAATGTATTATGAACAAAAATTTTAATTTTATTTATGAAATATTTTTGTAATACCAAAGGAATAATGGGACATTCTTTAACACATGTACGAAATGCGTTCTCTTTTAAGTAAGCAAAAGAATAAGGAAGTATAAATAATAATATTATTATTTCTGCTCATATTGTACATACTTCATTTATACATGCATTCAAACAAAAATTTCTCTATACACGTTGTACAACTTATGTTAAACTGATCCTCTTCTTTAAAAAAAAATATTTTTTTTCATATTTTCCAAATACTGAACAATATATTTGCTTAGAATTTTAATTAATTTACCTACCCTTAGGAAATTTTATTCATCCTTTTCGGTTCTTATATCCTTATCAAAATTGAATTTAGAAAGAGAAAGAGAGAGAGAAAAAAAAACAAAATCCTCAAATTCAAATAAATTAAATTAAAAAGCAAACATAAAATGTGTTGGAATTCAAAATTGGAAATGTGGTGAATTTTTTTATATTTTTACAATTTTTTAAATTTTTAATAAAAATTTAAGTTTCAATTGCTTACTTTTCAAAAATTGTTTATATTAGTAGAAGCACTGCCCTGGTTATTATAACAGATAAAATATATAGCAGTAATAATTAGATTAATAACCAACTAGGGCCTTGGTTCCAAATTATGTGAATAAAAATTATTTTTTCGTTTAAAACCAATTAGAGGCAATTGTTATTAACGAAACTATGACATGCCTATTGAAAATATTTTTGAAACACTCTTTAGTGACTAAAAGCAATATTATGGCCAA